CCTATAGGTCTACATTTGGTGGCTTGTGGGGGTAAATACTAATGAGTTCTTATATTGTATTACCAACATATAGTAAAGTACCCTCTCACTGTGGATTATCCGAACTAGTTGTAGATTGAGCTGTTTCTCTTTTCACTCTCATTATATTCCTTGTTTACAGGTATACAAAGTCACACACGTTATTACTTGAACAGGCTTTACAGAAGGACAAATTGGCAGAAGTTGTAAGGGATTCTGACATTATGCTCAAGTAAGCACCATTTGTTGTACTGCATGTGTTGGAGAAGTGAAGCATTTACGTGAGACTGTCTATGTATGCGCGTGTGTATATATGAGATTACAAACCAAGCATCACAGGAAGGGTCAAGCACAACCAGTTTAGAAATATCTGCTGGTTGATTACATTAGGAGGCTGGCAGCCTGCCAAGAGCTCTTCTTCATAGAAGAAAGCTAAGATTTCAATGTCTGTATGGTAAACTTTGAAATTAATTTCTCCACAATGCCTATAGATACAGAGATGAATGCAGTTAGCTTTATAGTGCTTGTTCAGAACTTGTACGTGACCTGGGCACAGGTTGACTTTTAGAGCACTTTATGGAAGTGGGTGGGAAATGCTCTGACAAGCTTTCTTCAGTTTTCCTCATCTGATACGCAGGCATGAAAAGCTTGTGTGTGACCCTAGCCATATTGTAGTGGCACATGGAGGACATTGCAGCCAGGCCTTTATTCCTTCAGGATAATGTCTCAGACTATTTTGCTGTGGAGGTTAAACTGCTAGAAGCTTCCCATATGTAACCGGAATAACAATCATTATTTCTAATAGCTGTTTTCAGGAACTGATTTTTTATTTGTGAAAAGGACTAAAAATGTATTAGCAGCGAGCATAGAACCTGCCACAGTCTCTGAATAGTCATTGAACTAGTCCAAATATTTCATAAAGGGATCCAATTATATATATATATATATTTTTTTTTTATTATAATTTTTATAGGGTTTCATTTGTTTTCATTCATTTTACTCTGAATATATGGATTAGGAGCAAACTATGGCTTAAAAACATCACAAACCACCTTCCAAATATTATATTGTCATCTAGGAGCATAAACAAGGAGCCTCATATTAAAACTGGATGTTGTAACTCATTGCAAGCAGTCAGTTTGTTCCTTTCTTTTAGTTAGCACTGGGAATGACTGGGTGGTCTGGTTACTGTTCACAGTATCTCCATTTTCAGTTTCTTCAATTTGTATCCTTGATGATTTATTGTATGATTATTTTATAGAGAGTGTATAGATTGTCTGTTCTTGTTTTATATTGAGTGGCTGAGTCCAGCACAAGCTCTAATAATTATGACATTCGAGTTCAGAACATTAAAGGAGAATTGTGAGGTGAGTGCTTTTCACTCGGCCTCATAATCTGAGCCGACCTGTGACAATGAAACTGTCACGGTCGGCTCAGTAGATCGGGAAGTGAGCGAACACATACCGGCGCTCGCTCACTTCTCGATGTATCCGTGCAGAGAGCTGTCACTCACGGCTCCCTGCAGGGATTTCCCCCCTCCCCCGCTCCGATCCTCCAGCGCTGACTGGCGGAACGGACGGGGAAGGGGGCGGGCACAACTGGCTCTGCCTCTTAGATAGGCAGAGTCAGCTGTCAATGCCGCAACTGGGTGGATCACAACAGCAATGTCGGGATCCATTCCGGCTGCGGCGTCTCAGTATACTGCGGCTGTAGCTCTCTATATACTGAGCTTAGGGTGACGGCAGGACGCTAGTTTGTGTCCTCCCATGACCCTTAGGAGAACTATGGGGAAAAGCCCTGACCCCATAGTTCTCCTTTTATAGGTGCAGCGAGGTTCTCTGTATTTATTGACAGCCTTCGTATTCGAATAGTATGAATCCATTTCCTTACCATAAAGAACGCTCATTGTCTTTTATCTTGCAGGGAAGGTTACGAAACATTCTTTGATAAGCTACATGAGCACAACATACCAGTGTTCATTTTTTCAGCGGGACTTGGGGACGTATTAGAAGAAGCGATACGCCAAGCTGGCATCTACTACCCAAACATTAAAGTCGTTTCCAACTTTATGGACTTTGATGAAAATGTATGTTCAGCTCTTCCTATGCGCAATCTGTCATTTTATTTTTCTACATGTCAGAAAGAACCAACGTGTTTAGACCTATAATTTCAGTGAAACATGTCCCATAAACTCACCAACTCCGAAAGAAACTTTGTATGCGTGGGTTAAAAAATGTACCAGAGCTCCAAATAAATTGAACGAGAGGGCAGGAAGTGTCATTGGGGGTAAAATGGATGAATTTATTATGTGCACTTCAGCACTCATTGTTTGTTTTTTTTGTGTTCTCAAAGAAGAGTAATGAAAGAGCTCCGGGAACAATGTTATTAACCCTTGCAGAGGGGGTACCCCTGCACTACAAGGGATAACGAAGCTGGCAAATTAAGCGGGTTAACTGCTCGATTTTGTCTAGGTGCTAAAAAGTTATACTTCACCAAACTGCCAAGTCAGTTCCTTGCTTTTCCAGTCACTGAAGCGTGTCTCCTCCTCCACTGCACCTCAGCGTCCTCACATCTATACACTTGTATATGACACAAGGATTCTTAGACCGATGAAGAGGAGGGGGAGAAAGGCTCTAGGGACCGGTCAAAGAATAAGCCGGCTCAAAAGATTGGGTGGGTATAACTTTATTTCACCTAGGCACAAATGAGCAGCCCCACTGTAAGGGTTAATAACATTGTCCCGGGAGTTCTTCTTGAAGTGATCCAACACCTGGAAATTGTCATCTTCTGTTTATCATGCTGACTCAGGTTGCAGAAGGCCCCCCCATGTCCAGTAGACATCCAGCTGGTTATTGAACATGTATGTCGGGACCGGATACAGACACTTCAGTCAGAGTAAATGGTGGCCAGTGACTTCACATCTAGAAGCCGCTTTTCCCTTAAAGCAAGTGCAGCTCCTGGTAATCAGATGTCCCCAGGACTTTAACCATATCCTCTGACTGTATAATGTCACGGGGTGGGGGGAGGGGGGGGGTACTAACTGGCGATGGAGGACACGAGTATTTACTGAGGCTGGGATCAGGACTGTAAACAGAGTATTCCAGGGACAGGATACTGAGACAGAAGCAGGATACAAGACACTATGACAGGAACAGGATAGAAGACTGAGATTGGACACAGGCTGGTAAGGACGGAACTATGACCAGCCCTGAGCCCCGGGCTTGTGATTCTTGAATAATGAGTCAGTGATCAATCCCAAGGCTGTGGGGTGCGTGGCCAGGCTCATTAGCCCACAGATGACAAAGTAGTTAGGGAAAGGTGCAGTGGCAGCAAGCAGCCACCAGGAGGAGCTGGTAGGCTGCAACAGGCAAAGGAGTATTAGACATTGAAGTAAGTCTGTGTACATCTTCAGTAAGTACATTCTATGCAGACTGTCCGCTCATTCACTCAGACTCGCTGTGGGCAGTCCATAAAAGTCTGCACAGGCTGGCTGAGAGAGAACTGATGTCATTCAGGGGGAGCGCTGTAGGTCTGCCTGCTAGTGCCTAAAGGTTTTGTATGTTTTTTTCTATTTAATGTGTATAGAAACGTAAAGAAAATCTCTTTTTCAGTGTGTCTGACATCAGGCATCTCGATCCAGTTTCTTCAAGGAAATCTTTGTGCTAAATGCCACGCATCAGCTAAAGCTGGCCATACACCAGTCGTTGTTTCTTGTTTACCATGGATAGGGGAATCCCTCCACCCTGTTATTGTAGTGGGTGTGCTGCTGTGAGAATACCGGAACAGTGATTGCAGCTGATTGGCTTGCCGCAATTCGTCCAGGTGTTTTTTATAAACTACCGCTGATTGAACCTTGCGATAATCGGGGCAAGATGGGGCCGCCGTGCGACAAAGTTTCGTCCGATTAATCGTAAGGTGTATGGGCACCTTTTACAACTGATTTACAAAATACATTGGTGGGGAATTTATCAAAACTGGAGCAGCTGTGCACGGCAACCAATCAGCA